CTCTCTCTCTCTCTCTCTCTCTCTCTCTCTCTCTTAATGGATTTACTACTTATTAGCGCCAATTATGATATACTGGTAAAGCATGTAAGAGGCTTTGCCGGTGTTGGAGCTGAAGAGTGGATGATTTCTCTGACATTTTTGGAAGCTATCACTTGTAGGGTCTCGTAACACCCACCAAAAATTACTGTCTGCCTTTTTCCCAGTGTTATGTGCCCTTGATAAGTTCTCTTCTCAGTATAAAAGTTTGGGGTCTTTTTTAAACGTAGTTGTTTTTACACTCGCATAGACACAATTTAGATCATTTGGGAGAATGGTTCGGACCCTGCCTGTCAGGGCCAACCCATGCTGAGAGAGAAACAACATCCCAGCAGAATGACCAAGATACTCGATAGAAATTAACCCTACTCAGGAATCGAACTTGGGTCTGCTGGGTGTGACAGTGAAGCGCCTAACTTCTACACCATAGACGTTGGTTGGGATAAAAGTTTGTAGGTGTCGATATGCACTGCCTAACTTGAAACAATTTAGATCTTTCACTTACTTGTAGGGCAGTTGGTCTTCAGCCAGGATGCTTGTAAGATAGAAAAAGCATTCTAGGGAGAACAAGGTAAATAATTTTTACCTCCCCACAGATTTGAACTCAAAATCTCTGTGTAGTAGTATTTGCAGAGTTCATCAACTCTGGCACGTGCGCTGCAGTTAACTAACTTCTCATCAGTTCCAACATCTTTCATCCTGCTCTTCCCAACACTAAGCAACCTATTTTTTGTAGATTGGTGTCCTAATCTTCCACTGGAAAGAAACGATTTGGCTCGTACTTGTAAGCTCAGATCGTATGGTTTGTTGTTTCAGGGAAGTCTCATAATGCCAGACAGAAGGTGAGGCAAGATACATTCTGTCCACAAAGAACGTTCCTTCCTCATGACAATGGATCTATGGACTGCTGTAGGATACCCTGGCATTCTATCTGAAGCTAGGGACATCAGAGGTGAAAGGGAACAGATCTGAAACTGGACCCCATTAAAAGTAAAATGAGGATTCTTAAGTTCTGGTATTTGTGTTAATATGTGGTAATACTTTTGAGCCTTGGAGTAAACTTTTTGTCTACCAAATTTGATTTTAATTAAGTTGCAGAATTTTTCTCTCCGATGTCGCAGTCTGCTTTTGATATATTATATAGATCTAGTTCATTTGAAATTGTGTGTATAGATGACAATTTAAGTCGCTGGATTTAGGACTATTTGAACTGAGACTACGAATATCAGGATCTGGAAGAACCCTCTATGTTCATGTAATTGATATATTTTGCTTTTATGATGAATTCCAAAAATGATTGTGCAAGCTGTGATTGTTCCATGCAAATAGGAGAAGAAAAAACACAGAGAGATGGGGAAGGTTGGAAGGGGAGGGGGGGGAGAAAAAAGAGATCATAAGAAAAGAAATAGGTCACAGAAGAGGAGAAAGCCGTGGATTGGGGGGGGGGGGGGGGGGGGAGCGGGCGGATCCGCCTACCACTAGTATCAACTTCAATCTACTTTGCTTCAGGCTTCAGAACATTAAATTTGACCCGGAAGTCCATTACTACGGAAGTCTAAAAGGGCCATCGACATTCAGCTGATTCCGCGCGTAAACGCAAGTTCTAACAGAGCCTACTATAATATAGTCTTTTGATTGGTTGGCGTCATCACGCCCTATTAAACTGTGACCTGGAAAATCGAACTCGTAGGTGTTTTTTGTTATTGTTTTTCTTTTTCTTTTCTTTTTTTTTTAAATTTAAAAAAAATTTTTTTTTTAAAGAATTTGATCAATTTGTTCAAAATCGGTTGCTTTTGGCCTTCCATGAAGGAAAAACCCAACCGCCCTATGTATCTAACCGTATCGAACGCGTCTTTGTCGAGACTTCCTGTAGGCCTGATGTGTATTTTCTGTGTATTATCGTTATAATGAAAACTAATTTATTTGGTAGCTTTTTAATTCAATTCGCCACTGTAGCCACCTATTTGTTGCTACGTCTGTCTCTTGTCGGGCCCTGCGGTGGGTCGGGAATGTTTGACTCTAATAATTGTTGGCTTGATCTCTGCGTTGTCGCAGAATGTTTCGTTTGAAAACGCATTTTCAGCTTTAACAAAAAAAATCTGCATTTCAAGTTACAAGCATGTACCACCTATCAAAGTTTTAAGGGGATAAATGAAAAGTGTGAGGGTTAGCCTACAGTAAGGGGGCTCTCGTGACATAGAGGTTAAGGTGTTGGCCTCTCATTCAAAGGTCCCGGGTTGAAATCCAGGTAAGGACCAAAAAACATTTCTTCTCTAAAATTGTCGCCTTTCCCCTCCTTTCCTGCTCTCTATCAATGGTCTGTCGTCTGCTTTCGTCTCCAATTTCTGCCCGCACCCCCTCACCTCCTCTGAGCTCCTGATTTTCTGCAGCTTTTTTTACTGCTACTCCTTGGCTCCTTCTTACTACTGTCTGTCAGCCACACCTTTGATCTTCTGGTAGGACAGATCTACACCTAGCCTTCTCGGACAAGAACGAAAAATCTCGGAGGGCCCGTGTGTAAGTTGCGCACGTTAAAGATCCCTTGGTGGTCTAAAATCGATAAGAGTTTGCTTCGGCCGCCACCCGAGCAACATTCAAAATTTCCTCCCAACTGAAAAAGTTAAGTGTGTCCCGTGCGCTCATATTATGACCTTTATGCAGTTGCGAGCGCCGTAAAACACTTTCAAGAAGACGAGGCCTACAGTAAACTAGGTTTACTGGCAAGAAGATTTTTACGACATTAAGAAAAAAAAGGCCTTAAAAAAAAAAAAACAGCAGCAGAAACGCTGTGACAAATTAAGAGGTGGCCCAGTGGTTAGGCTACCTGACTCGAAACTGTGACATTGTGGGTTCGGGGGTTCGAGCTTCAGCTTCAGCCTTAGGAAAAGCATTTTACACGCATCTCCAATTTGGCTCGGTCCTTTCATTGTCTGTGGGCAAAGCATCTTGTCCTCAATATATCCTCACGTGTGTCTACAACTGAATTAGGTTTAAATAAAAAATAAAAATACATTGTAAGACAAGACAGCACCTGTGTCCATCACCCGTCTCCCTCCCCTTGTTTTCTCTTTGCTTTTTTTTAAAAACATTTCATCCAACTATTCCAACAGCCTTCGGAAGTTGAATACAATATAAGGAGCGGGTGGATGAAGAGCACTGTGGCTGGTCCTACTATTTTTTTATTTTTAAAAATTTGTTTTTAGTTCAATGTCCCAAAGAAGTTTTCATTCTGTCCATCTGTCTTTTTTTCCCGGATGCTCCAGTTGAAAGAGCAAGTACCATAGCATACCATACTTTACCGACAAAGCAATCGTGCAAACAAGGGAATTAACCACAAATAATCACCAAATGAAAAAATTGTTCCGAGTAAATTTCCTTGTTGGGTAGGCTAGATTAGAAAGAATTTAGAACGTCTCCACGTCCACTTCAACTCAACATCAATAAATGCGAACACGGAGCTGCTATGCCTTGGTCGTTTATGCAGTTAACTATAATACGAAATGCCAACATTCCAGTCTAAGAGGGGTCTGAATTTTTATATTTATTGTGCTCTTTTCTCTAGAACGTCCTTATTTTTTTTTCT